TAGATATAAAAATATCGCTAGAAAGGAGGATTTGTAAGAAAGGACTGAAACATCACATCTTTTGGTTAAGGATGGAGGATGGAAAATAAACAATTTCCTTTTTTTAAATATCATTGTGTAATTTTAAAGCCCATTGTTATAAAAATAAAATATTAATGTGGACTTAAATATAGCTGTTGAATTTCATGTTATAGAAACACCCGTTGAAAAGGTGTCAGCGCCCAAGTGTTCTTTTCTAATCAAATCTGATTTCAGTTTTGAAAACTTTTTTTTTCCAACACATTTCAACTTACCCTTAGCTTTCTCTCTGACTTATTTCGGGGAAAAAAACTTTTCTTAACCCCAAGATTAGAAAACAATTTTGCTTAATTTACAAATTCTTTGTTCAATCACTTGCAAGAAAACTCCTGTTCCACAGTATAAAACATGAATCATTGTGCAACTTCACACCAGTGTTTTGATCCCTTCATTGCAGTCTCATTTCAGTTTGTCTGGGAAAGAATACCAAATTTTGTTGCTTTTTATGTCAGGTTTTGAAGCTAACAGGAAGACATGCAGCAAAATCATTTATTTATCCTAAAAAACTGTTCCCTGCTATAAGTCAGTCACTGAATGCTTCTGGGCTTTTCTGTTAGGATTAAACATAGCTTATAATGAAATCTAAGCCCATTTAACAGTTCATCAGGGAAGTATGGAGTTCAGATTTCTTGGGGGGGCAGGCAGAGACACGACTGTTCATAATGCTTGTGATTGCTATCTCTGGCTTCTTTCTGTTTAACACAGTCCTGATAATGCCACCGTGAGCAGCTGAGCGCAAAGTCAAATCAGTAAAGGCAACACAAACCAAAGTCAAAGAAATATCGGGGGCTGTCACAGCTGAGCTGGGTCTGTGGAAGTATTTCATCAGTACAGCATGCTTAATTTGTTTGGGTTTGTTTTCAAAGGTGTCACGCTGGGAGCAAATTAGTGTGGGTAAGCCCAAAGCAGGGCTGTGTGTTGGGGAAGCCAACAGCATCTTGGTGCTTCAGCTCTGCTGCCTCCTTCAACCCAGTGCAGGGTCTGAGTGGCAGCAGAGCTCGGTTCCACTTAACCACATCCACATGGGAGGGATTCAACCTCAGATACAGAAAAGCAGCTCTTACCCAATGCAGCAAAAAAAAATAAAAAAAGGGAGGACAGACTAGTTCTTTGGGTTAGTGTATTGTAACTAACAGGCTGCGTGTTCCTGTTAGGATAGAGTGGGTCAGTGAGCTTGTTTGTGCCAGGAGATGTGTGAAGGGAGCAGCGTGCAATTGCATTAGTGGCCAGAGTGCTTATTCTGATTTTACAGCAGCTGGGCTCCAAGGAAGATGCTTTCAAGATTGTCTGAAGAAAAATAGGTATTAAATGGCTAAGTGTGATTCAGCTTGAAGGGAGAGCAAACCCAAGGCACGGGGACACCCTATTTGTTCCAGTCCACAGAGGAATAGATAGCATTAGAGCAACCCACTAGTGTGGAAAAAAGCACTGAAATTCTGCAATATTAGAGATTTATGCAACAGGGAAAAAAGTGTGATATTAGGAGTGTGCATATTTGTCAGGTGTTTTAGCGTGTCAAACCCAAGCCAAAATGTTGGCTAAGAGAAAAAACCTCTGTCTGGGTTTGCACTCGTGTTTCAGTAGGATAAACAAGGGGGGATTTGCAGTTGTCTGTGCCTTGTGTCAGAGAAAGAGAGCCTTTCCCATTAGTGTTTCAACTGCATTTGTACTTTGGACAATGAAGGCACCAAGGCAATTATGAAACAACAGTCAATATGCTCTAAAGTTGAGATTCCTTTGCCCTTTCTTCTTGTATTTTTTTTCCCCTGCTGATAGTCTCAGAATGTATCAAATTCGAACAGAGAAAGAGGGAGAGAGAGGGGCCTACTAAGTACAAGGCTGTCATAACTTATAACAAGATTATCATATGTAGAAGTGTTACTTACCATATCCTGCAATATTCATTGCCACTACTAGGAGATCAGTGTAAGAGAGATAAAAGTAAATACATTTTTGCATAGCAGGTAGGGAACTTCCAGAATTCATTGCTACAGGAGGCTGAGTTGATGGACATTATTAGCAGATTCCAAAAGATGTAAGTGACATTTGTAGGCAACAGGTCTAAATAGCAAGTAGGTACAAAAGAAAACAAGAGATGTGCCCTCCAGCATCCCTGACAGAATGATTGTGGATGCTGGCAGAGTGCAGGAGGAATGGACCTCGGAAAAGGGATGTACTCGTGTGCTTTCCCTAAACAGCCATCCCCTTGTCGCTGACCGCAGCAGCATGATGGCCTGGGTGCATGAGTATGTCTCATGTTCTCAGCTCACTCCTGCCTGACTAGTGAATCATTTAGACCAGAGTGTCTCAAAGCTTCCCAGCAGCACAGGCAAAATTAAATTTTGTGGTTGTGACAGAACTGCTGCTTTAGGCACCGTCAGGCCTGAGAGCTGTGGCCGGTCACCAGGACGTGTTGCCTGCTGCCCAGGAATTGTTCTGCTGCTGCCACCAATACAGCACAGGATGGCTTAATATTAACTGTTGATTAGCAGCTTTCCCAACATCCACAGTATGCAGATCTGCCTCTCTCTAAGCTGTGATTTTTCTGCCGCACATCACTTTGCAACCATGGCTAAGTGCTCTGTGTAAGACTACAGCTGGTATATTACAATGTGACAGAGCCCCTGAATAATTTATATCTAAGTCTCCATTTCATACTTATTTGTTATCCTATGGGTTTTCCCCTAGGATATGCCATCCAGTTTCAATTTAAAACGTAAGTTCCATAAATTACCACTGCACAGAAGTTGCTTTAACACGCCGTTTATGCAGGTAATGGTGCACATTGTAGCAGAAGTGTTTCAGAGTCTCCACTCCTGGGACTGCAGATTCACAGTAAGCTGGTAAAGGGGAAACAACGAGGAGTTCGCTAGAAAATTGAACAAATCCACCCTAACATGTCAGAGCAAATCACACCCTGATATTGTGAACTCTGCAGGGCAACGTTTCTGCCACAGCACGGACACCCACAGTCCCTGCTCGCATTAAGCGGAAAGGAAGTGTGTGTATTGTTTGTCATGTGCATTTAGACACCAGTTCATGAAAGTGCACTTAGGAAGAGGATTATGACATATTTGTGGTGGGTATAAATAAGGCCCATTACATCAACAGTTCTTAATCCTTGCTTTATTCTCTGGGTATATGATTTTCTGAAAAAAAAGTCGTAACTTCAGAGAACAGCCAGTCTAAGTCCAATGATGTTTTAGCAGGGTGTCATCCAAATATTACTAAAACGTGTATAAATCTGTTATATTTCAAGATAAGTGTTTTGGATGTTCACAGAATATTCTGAGTTGGAAGGGACCCACAGTATTTTTACTTTAAAGAGTTATATGAATTATATAGTAGTAGGTGCACTTCAGAAAAATTCCCTGTTTACATGTCTTGCCTAACCTAAAGAAAATCATGTCATTGAAATCATTAGGAGTGTTTTTCTGTGCATGAGGCCACATTTTGGCAAAATGTTTCTCCTTAAGTATTTGGGTTTAATTCTTATTCTTAATACTTATTAAATTTAATAGGCTTTGGACACCTACTTTAAATTAATGACATTAACTATTTCTTTAGTAAGACTATTGACTATTTTGGCAACTGCTAATTTTATAACACTGTAATATATTTTGTTTCATTATTTAGTCACACAACTTTATATTTCAATAGGATAATATAACGCAATACTCTCCTATCAAATATATGTGCCAATCTAGAGCAGCTTCGGACTGAAATCCCTTAAATAGTGTACCCAAAGGAGATTGATATTTGGGTAACAGTGTACAAAGCTACCAGCTACAAGCAAGGTATCAGTGAATCCCCAGGCTGTAATATATCTTGTTTAAGTGATTAGTGTCTAAAGGCCTGAGATGCTGTAGACAGGATTCAGTAAAACGACCTTTCATTCCCAGTCTTGAGTCTGCCTTTTTTGGTGATTTCCCTCCTGTAAATTTGAAAGTATATCTTGTTACAGATAGGCAAAGACTGAGTAGCAGTAATAAATACACCCTGCTTTCTGTTAGGCAAATCTCCTGAACTATGGAGCTTCTTGAGAGTCTTTAGGAAAGAGTTAGGTATCACTTGCCAGTGGGAAGGCGTGAATCTGTGAATATCTGAATCTGCAGGAGGGTCAGCTCCCTTCTCTGTGGTGCCCTGGGGGGTTACCCCTGCCAGTGCTTTGCTTTTGGCCTGGCTGAGGCGAGTGCAGGAGGCACAAGAGGAAAGGCTTCACAAAAGAAGGAAATCAAGGATTTCAAGTTAAATCTTACATTGCTTGTGATAACATGTGTAACAAGCAATTATTTGAGGGAAGGATGCAGAAGGGGCGGGAAAAGGGATGGTCTGTGACACAGTGCAGCAACCGAAACAAATTTAGATTGTGTGTAAGATGTGCTGCTTTGAGACTGATAAGCCTGGCTCAGGGAAAACACTCGGCTTGTGCGACTGCACTTGTGAATGTGAATGGCCTAAATAATTTGAGAATCCATTTACAAATCACTTATGTGTACCTCACCCTGCTTGCATGATTTCTGGTTCCTGTCAGCCACACAGAACCATATTGTTCATCACAAAAACAGAAAGATGTTTTCACTTAGCTTGCCGAGCATCTTGCCAAACTGTGGGCCCTGAAACCTCGAAAGGACTATTTTTTAATTTAGGAAAGATCTCGGCCTGTTCCAGTCCTGTTCTACTTCCTTTTTGATTTCTCTTCTTTTCTCTGCTTGTTCTTTCACTTTCTTTAATAGCTGACATCTGGGATGGTGAGGCTGTAATAGTGACAGTTCATTATATCCAGTAATTCAAACGATCATTGCATACTCTTTGATGGTAGGTTACTACTCTTTAAGTTTCTGATGCTACTATTTCTGATGCATATGTTGCATATACGTGTTTCATGTATCTAAATAAATGCATTGCTTTGGATCCAACAGGCCAGAACCAGTACTGTGGACAAAGGACGGTGGAGAGCTCCCAGATCCAGAGAGAATGGTTGTCAATGGCAGGGTTCTAAGCATCAGTTTCCTAAACAAAACAGACAATGGCACATACCGATGTGAAGCAAAAAATCCTATTGGCCGAAACAGCACAGAATATGTCCTGATAGTACATGGTGAGTGTGTTCTTGTTAGTGCATGTAATGCATATGTAACATTTCTAGCCAATACAATCAGCTGCTTATGTTCATCACACAACGAATAGCAAGAAAAAAGTTGGCAGTGTAATTGCACTCCTATCTATGCTATCACCTAGCTATGGGAAGGATGTTATCTTTCTTTTATTAGCGTGCCTCTCTTCATACAGTTTAACCAAAATGTAGTCACTTATGCTGTGAACTTTTTGCTAAGTAAGCACCTGTAAAAATGTTTTGCAGTATGTCGGTCCTGTTTTAAAAACACTTGCCTCAGGCCCAGCTGTTCAGATAAAGCTTGTCACAAAAGGATATATGAAGAGAAGTACCAGACAGTGAGTGCTTGAGGTTTTCTGTTTAGCTATTTATAGACCACCAAAGATGGGAGATCAGATTCTTCGCGCAAGTTATAACCTGCTACTGAGAAAATTCAGCTTGTCCAAGTTAGCTGGTCGTCATCTGGCCTATCATTACGGTCAGTCATCAAAACTATGTCATGCCATTAATTCATTATACTACTTCTAATAAAACTGAAAAATAGGAAGGTTCATATTTAGTTACAGTTGATTTTTTTCCTTTATAAATTAGACAACAATATGTATCACGTGAAAAGAATAGCTGCCTTCTAAGTTGATCACGAAGCAGATTGATATAACTTGGATATAGGAGAAACTATAATACAAAATTAGGATTTACCTTTAATATAGCCTTGCAATATGGATCTAACAGTCTCAAAACATGATGTTTTCTCATCACAAATATATATTCCTGGAAGATGATGATTTCCATAATTTGAATTTTAATCTAAGTGAATATAAAGGCAGAAGCCCCACTGTAGTTCATGACGGTACTTTTTTTTGGTGTAAATTTTAAAAAAATGTGACTTCATATAACTATGACAAAATAAAATGAAAAAAACCTAATGAAAATGATAGTCTGTAAGTAGACATGGGAATTATGTCGATTTTATTTGCTCATGATGAATTCAGTTATAACAAATACATGTTTCTTTGGTGGTTGTAAGGTCTCAAAACCATTTTTCACTACAGGTTTAACCTGCCTTTAGGTATTTGGCATAAAACTTCTGATAAGTACTGCTTTCAGTAAGGAGCTGTTTATTGGTGCTGTTGAAATCTCATTTGTCAAAAGAAACCCTTAGATTACTTTTCATTTTCCCTAAAGTTCGCTATTAGTTTATGTAGAATTAGTGGCACAAGTAAGGGGGAGGTCTTTGCATGAGGAACACAGAGCCTGTACTGCTGCGTGAGTATTTCTGTTATTAAAGACAAGGAGAAAAACTGAACCCCCTCACCCCGACTTACATTGGTTACCACAAGAAGAGAAAAAGAAAAAAAAAATGTCCTTTACATCCTGGAGGTGGTGGGGTGGTGGTTGTTGGCTGCAGGTACGAACTGCGCTGCCTTTGGTGAGGTAATGGCTTCTGCGCTTGCCCTATGTTGAAAATTCTGTGATTTTTCTTTTCTGCCCAGTTTACTTACGTGATTATTTCTGAAAATATGGCCTTTGATAAGGGTAGATTTTTTTTCCCATCAGTGATGGCTCTGCAATATACCTCTATCAAAGACTATTTCACCATTTCCTGTGTGTCTTTCACACAGTGGTGTGCCCCCTGTTGATCTGATTATCTTGCAAACAACTTCATGGCAGTCTGTAAAATCATTCATTATCAGGGAGGCGTTCTGTTATGTTTGGCAGCATATTAGGCATGTTATCAGCTTTAGCTCCCTCGCTGCTGACCTTTTCTGTTATGAGTACCAGAGTTTTTCCTAATTGCATTTCTGCAATTCCAGTGTTGGAACTAGAGAAGGTAAATGTCAGGTGCTTCTGAGCTTTCTGAAACAATGAGAGTAATGTGACAGAGTATGGGATGATGTTTAGTGCTTAACAACTCACTGCATTTCAGAGCTGCTAGGTTTATTTTAAGTACAGAGGAGACTGACACAATTATTTTATCAAGTGTAGAACAATCAGTTGTATAGATCAATTTAAGCAGCCTTACCCCTTCTTTAGCTCATTATATTCACGAAAGTCTCTAGTGAAACATAATCCTCCCCAAATTATACAATATTTTCTCTCTATTTCTCTGGGGGCTGAAAAACCTACTTTTTATCACTTTCTGAGATGCATCCTTCCATTTAATAGAGGATGTATTTTTTTTATCTTCCTAAATATATCTGGAAGCATCCTTTGATTTCTCATCCCTTCCCCTGTGCTTAATGTGTTGATGTAATTTTTTTGTCCTACTTCTTTGTCAGAGTTGATTTATCCCATAAGTATGCCTTCTTACTTTGACTGTTAGGTTTCTAATACAAGTACATGCCAGATTTTCCATGTGAACTTGCGTGAGGAAGCAGAGGACATCAGTGGAAGGTCTCCTCTGCAGAGGCAGGGGAGTGCAACCTGATTCAGAGCTTTTCTTTTCTTATGTATACTGTGATTTGCACTACATTTTTTTCCCTTTTTTTCACTTCTACTCTGAAAGATTTTCTGTCTTTCTGTTTGTTAATGTTATAAAAGCTTCATCTGGCTTCTATTCTTTTTTTTCCCCCCATGAAATCCCCCTCTCAGTGGTACTGAATCTGCTAATTCTGTCAGTTCCTAAAGTTATCTTACTAACTGAGAGAAGATTTAGACAGCTTTAGTGCAGAGAGAGGATTGCCTAAAAATGGAAGGAATAGTTTATTATAATTAGAGATTAAAGGCAAGCAAAGTATTTATAAGTATTAATTGTACAAACCAAGCAAAGAGTGTCTCATGCCTTTAACTGAACCAACCCAGGCACAAAATTATATGGAAAAATAGGTTTTTTTCCACGGCAAGGGATGATGAAGTAATACTATTTTGATGTTAAGGGATGGCACTGGAAAAAAATATTGCTATAAGCAGAGGAATGGCAGTCTGTCCAATGCAATTACTATCTGATAACATAAAAAAATCTTTTTATATTTGTAGTATAATTAAAGAAATCAGACTTCAGAGAAATTGAACCTATTTGAATAAAGTTAACGGCATGGGCTATTAAATATGCTCATGCTGCTTTGCTTGAATCAATATGTCTGCTAATTTAATTTTTCTTAACATTTATTGTTAATAATGAATGTCATAAAATACTTTGTGAAGCAGGAGGGTGGGCACAAAGTCAGAGTTTATAGGCAGAAGTACAAAGGCAAGACGTAGTTTGCTCAAACATTTGTCTCTTGCAGTAACAAAAGCACAAGCTTTAATGCCTGTAGCTGTTGTCACTTCTGTATTCTAATTGGTGAGCCTGGTGCTTTAGAAGTGCACATTCTGGCTGGATATATTACACCCTTTCTTTGGTAATGTGCCCCAGGCAATTTTCACTCTCTTCCAATTTATTAAGAATTTTTGTTTACCTTTGTCCAAATACTTGTCATTAATCATCACCAAAGAGAGCAAACTGTCAGACTCATGTTGCTCAACCCAAAAACACGGATTCTACTCGCAAAGCTTAGGTAAGAAGTGCACTGACTTAGCTGGGGTAGAGGAAGGAGGTGGTCTATCATAATCAAACTGAAGATACACCTGTGATTTATGTAGGGGTGGTTCATAACCTCTGGAGGTCACTGCTGAGGACTTAGTTCATCATCACACTGGAGTGAGTGACACAAGCCCACATCATTGACAAACCTTCTTAATGGCAACAGCAGCATTTGATAATTTGCAGACCTATTTGACATGAAGAACCTTGGTGAAACATCCTGATGTGCCAGTCTACAGACAAGCATTAAATTAATTGAAATATTCAGAGCTATAATGTGTCATGTAGCAGTCATCTAGAAGAGCAGTATGGAAATTAATATAAATCAGCAGCTGTGGATGGTCAAGGCAGTTCTTATTGCCCTAATATACATATATTACATACATAATATTACCCATATTATACATACAAAGCATTTGAGCCAGTTGCTTAGTATCTCTGAGGAATAAAAAGTGTCATAACATATTCCTTTGTCTTCAGCCTCTCTATTTTGTATTTTTTTCTTAGGCAAGCTATTTTCTGCAAATAAAGGCAGCTGAAAGACTGAGTTACATCCTCATTAGTATTTTGAAATGTGCTTTCAAACAGAAGATCTCCTACAGTGTGTAAGACCAAAGGTCCCACTGCACCTTTCCTAACTATAACATTATTTATATTCCACCTGCTTGTCCAGTCCCATTGCAAAACATTTGTCATGTTAGCTTTCACAGTAACCTGTGGCAACAAGTTTCTGAATTGAGTTACGTGCTTTGAGGGAAAAGTATTCTCTTTTGTTTGTTTAAACCTGCTGCTTGATCTCTTCACTTCCCAGCTCTACAAGCTACTTGGCCTCTCTTGCTGTTTGTCCTGGAAGTATGCAATTGAAATCACTTTTATATTTGTGTTTCTTCCCTTCCATAAATTCTCAGATTTGTCCACCCTGCTCCACTTTTCTCATTAGCTACAATCCTAAACTCTGTATTTCCTGGATTCCTGTCCCTTGTATCCACTCTCCTTCCTCGGTGGTCTTTTTTCCCACCTTTTTTCTTCATTTTTGTTCTAGTTGTAAATCTCTGTGATTGACTGTTCTCTGCATCTGGTAAATGGCACTGTACCAAATCTGCTCCAGACACCCGGGTTTATTAAATCCTACCTCCAAATACATTTATAGAGGCTCACCTTCTGTGGCCACTCATAATTCCAGGATGGTGCACTTTTCAATTTATGCAAGTTTCTTTTTCAATCTCTCCAAGAAAGTAGAAACTGAGTAGAACAGTAAATTGAAAGAAAACCGAGGAGGTGAGGATATTTTCTTATTTCTTGGAAAACTAAGTTTACTGAATAGGCAGCAGATCTTTTGATTTGCAAATGTTTTCACTACAGACCTCTGATAAATCTTGTGTAGTGTTTTTGGACACCACGTCATCATAAACTTATATAAAAAACCACATAAAATATATTCACTAGAGGGGAGGTGGAAGGG